CGTCGCATGTCTGACCGTCGAGTGTCAGGTAGTCGTGTAGCATGCCATCCACAGGATGCACCAAGTTGTAAGGCCTCCGGGTAACCAAACTTGCCGCCCGCCAACGGTCGGGTCCGTCCGCCGTTGTCGGAAATTCTGTCTTCGTTCCACAACACGCCAGCATGTTCTTGTATCGCCAGGCGCTATCACTTAAGCTTAACATTAGATCATTTGTTTCTCGAATCAGTGACATTTTATGAGACGAACGTTTTCAAAAAATGTTAGCTACTAATAACTTTTCTCTGAATATAGATACATAAAAAATATAAAATGGGTCACATTCCAAAAGGGAAGAGGATTGGCACAGCCGTTTTTCACCTCCCCTAAAAAGTGAGTTTGAAGAACGTTTATTTAATATCAACTGGTTACAGTGATTAGCAGTTACAACAAATTTTATGCACAACACTATATAGTATCCTTATCATTTTTTCTGCAGGGGTGAAAATTTGCATCTCTGTATCTCAGTAATGAGACATTTAGTATCCATGCTTATATAAACTTTTCAGGTTATCTTTGATCTTCTCTATTCCCTAGAATTATTGCCACGTTTTTCTTGACCTCTCTGATAAAGATAAATTCATCCCGAAAACGCTAAAAATTCCTGTTAATCAGGAACCTCTCTTCACATTCTAATCATCAGAAACGTTTTTTTAAAAGTGGTACTATTCAAATCATCTTTTGTCAAATAATAAAGTACCATTTAGCATGTGTTTACAAGGAAGCTTGACGTCAGTGATGCCATTTATTGGATCGGTTTTTTCCCGATAAGTGTCCACTAATGACTGAACCACATAAGCAGACGCAATGTGAATAAACGGATGCCGGAGCGTGTAGAACAACTGGGTCACTCGAGAATCTTTCGCTTTAATTGGCGAGTTTTTAATATCAATGAAAGCAGTTCGTCGTATAATTAATGATAACTGTGACAAAATTTTTTGAAATAGTCAGCAATGCTTCGTGGCGCGCAACGGGACTTGGAATGATTGAAAGTATGCTGGCTGATTTTTGCAGTGGACTACATACAAAAAAGATTCCACAGTCCAGTACTGAAACTCTTAAACCATTGTGCTCAGTCATGTCAGATCTACGTTTTTAGTGGTAGATACACCTTTTGAGAGTTCTATCGCAAAACACTCAAATTCTGTTTTTTATTGTGCAAATTTCATCAACACATACGCTTGCCTAAACGTACATACCTGCGCTTTTTCAATAAAATATAACATTTTTTTAAGTAGGTCTTATATAATTGTTGTCTTACGCCAAACAAATAATACTATCTTTTTTCAGACCTAAAAGACCGTAAAACGTTAACTTGAAAATATATATGTATATATATAAATACCGTTTTTCTGCTCAAACTCTAATGTATTACTAGTACACTAATTTATAAATATGTCGACTGGACTATTATTCCATCTGAATTCCGCGTTTGCTGTCCAGTGCTTCGACCGTCTTTAAACTCGACTGTGACTGCCTCGTTCCGCCATCTGGTCGGATATTTATCTCCCTAACGACGAGCCGAGAAATATTCTAGCGTTTTCGCGCACTACCATGGAAATGACCTAAAGCTGACGCCTGGTTGCTTAGGTTTAACAGAGTTCAACAATCAGTAACTGTGTCATACAGATAGACGTTGTTGTGTTCCATCAATATTGCGATTGTTATGGAACGCCCGCATTCAACGACATAAAAGTCAAACTACTTGCCCCCACGTGTATCGTTTTTAAAGGAAACGTATAAAATTTCACAATTCAAGCGGCTATTGCATGTTGCCGCGGTGCTAAGTGAACTTCCATTCACTTGAAAAAATGACAATTACCATTATCAATTCTCAAGATAATTAGGATGGATGTTAATACTTAGCGATAACAGTTGTCATGTCTGAGATGATATATGGGCAGCTTGTTCAGTCAAGTGCGGAATTCAAGAGTCCAACACAACGTCTGCATTCACAGAAGCAGTCGACTCAACAGGATGCGATAGCGCATGAAAAATTACACCACTCATAAAGGTCTGATAAAATACGTAGTCACTTGAAGACGTTCAGTTCTTGAAGTTCGTACGAAATATTTGGATGAGACTGCTTAATGGATGCTTTTATCGATAACGATTCAATAAAGAGATGAAAACGAAGATGATTATCTATGTATCATGAGTGAACAAAGTAGAGTAACTTTTAATCCAAGAAGGTACTAATATTTTGCCTTAATACCCCAGGAAACGGATAATTTTCACTTACCTAACGATGTCGTTAGAATGCTGCATTCTAGTAATAATAATAGCCAACGTTAAGTAATTACTATGTAGTTAAGTGTATAAATTTATATTTTTCTAGGTATAAGATGCGGCTAAATTATTTAGACTATTTTTTATAAAAACTGATTGTGCTTAGAATATTTAAGTTCAATAATGATTTCTTTTAGTTTATGGATCGATTTCTCGGTTGCTGATTTCTTTTTGATGTTTTAATAACCTTTATTGGTATCGGGGTATGATTAAAAAAATTTAGAGCTAGGAAAGAAGAGGTCGATGACCGATGGCTCTTGTAGATTTTCGCACAGATACTGCATTTTGTTTGAACCTTGTTTGATGGTTGTGATTGATAGTATTTAGCAGCCTGTTTTTAATGTCGATTTGTCTAACGTCTGGGGTTTGAGCTTCAGAGTAAAGATTATTGGTTGGGTATGTAATCCTTTGAAGGATCACTTTTAGTGTGCACTTCTGTAGAATTTTAATCTTTTTATAGTAATTTTTAATGAGTCCTCCCTGGAGTAATGTACCATAATAATAATAATAATAATAATAATAATAATAATAATAATAATAATATTTATTTACCAAAAGACAATTTGTAACAAATCCTTTGGGAATGGTCAAGGATGGAAAAACGAATTATATAAAATATATAAATAATTATATAGAAATATTTGAATTTTGGTGTAAGACATCTCAGTCTTTTCACTACGGTATCTGTCTTTGCACTCCACTTTGAATTTTGTCTAGTATTAAGCCTAAGTATACTAAGCGACATATAAATCCGAACACCCAGTTTAAATGGTTTTATTTTAATAAAAGTTGGTGAATGCATTTATCTTACTGTAAATAACAAGTGAAAAAATTTTCAGCCTTATCAGTTGGACATTCCGGTTTTTATACTGCTTTTTTTTTAATTCACTAAGGCTCTAAAAATGAATATTTCAGCCGCAGTAAATAATCAACGTTGGCGGATTTTGGTTCTTGACATCCTTTACAATCGGTTACGATGCCTAGAGTACGGAGACCTGTACGATTTCGTCAACTTAGTGAGTTTGATAGGCGCCGCATAGTGGGACTTCGCGAAGCTGGACTTTCTTTTCGGGCAATTGCAGTTAGAGTGCAAAGAAGTGTAGATACTGTGGTCAGGTGTTGTCAGGCATAGCTTCGAGAAGGCCGTACGCAAAGAGCAAGGGGCACTGGACGCCGCCGTAGAACAATAGACCGTGAAGATCGCCGCCTAAGATTATTGGCCTTAAGGGACCGTTTCTCCACTACCAGGTCCATTGCAAATGAATGGTTTGCAGAACACGGAAGACCTATTGGCATGCGAAGTGTTTACCGACTAATGAGAAGTTTTGGCTTGTTTTCATACCGGCCACACTGGGTCCTCCCTTTAACTCGAGAACACGGACGTAATCGCTTTGAGTGGTGTAGACAACGGTCACTCTGGGATCAGGAATGGAACAGTATTGTCTTAAGTGACGAGTCTCGATTTTGTTTAGGCATGCACGATGGTCGTGCCAGGGTTAGAAGGCGACGTGGTGAAAGGAGGAATCCACAGTTTTTTGTTGAAAGACATGTTCATCACACTGTTGGAGTTATGGTTTGGGGTGCTATAGCTTATGGTTCCAGGTCACCATTAATCTTCATCAGAGGTAACATGAACGCGCAGCGTTATATCCACGAAGTTCTAGAACCCCATCTTTTACCCTATCTTGACACCCTGGCAGATCCAACTTTCCAACAAGATAATGCCCGACCACTTGTTGCAAGAGTCACAATAGACTTCGTTCAACATAATGATGTCACATTGTTACCATGGCCACCAAGATCTCCCAATTGAGCACGTGTGGGATATGATGGGTAGGGATTGTTCAATTTGCAACGTCCTCCTCAGACTCTAGAAGCACTTCGAGAGGAGTTGGTGGTTGTCTGGAATGAGATACCACAGGAGGACATTGACCACCTGATCAGAAGCATGCCTAGGTGCGTTGGAGAATGCGTAGCACAACAGGGTGCATCCACACATTATTAAAGGTCAAAGGGCTTTAAAGCAGTGCAATCATTTTGAAATTTTTATCATTTACTTATTATGCTTCATTAAGTACTTATACAAAATTTTATTAAAATAAAACCATTTAAACTGGGTGTTCGGATTTATATGTCACTTAGTATATTTAATTTTGTCAACTAACTCGATTTCTTTATGATCATATTTTGTTTGAAATTTGAGTGTACACTGTAATTTGGAGAGTCTTTCATTACAAGAGAATGTTATAAGGTATGTTGTTTTTGATAATTTTAGAAGAAAATTTGTTTAAAAAAAACTCCCGCACTTTTCCGAAAGTTTAATGGTTGTGAAGTATAACTAAAAATAACTAAACTAAAAAATGGTATCAAAACATTCGCGTGGCACGATCCATACACCGCCTACGTGTCAGTATAGAACATGAATTCACTCATCATGAATAACACCTCGAAGTGAATCAATTGTTTTAAAACCTCCCGTAAGTACTCGTATTTGGTTTGTGATGTATTCTCCATAAAAATTCGAGTGATTTACTTACCTGCATGAATCTTTGCCATTTTGTCAATGCGTAGCCTCAGTAACCATTGTACCGATCGTAAGCCAGCATCATCCTGTAAAATTCCATCAACAAGGTAAAAAAATAAGTTTCAGTTAGAGATAAATTTGTTTGAGTCTATCATTTCTCATGGGTTTGCCACCGAGATACAGGTGATTTAGCATTCTTGATTTTCATTTGCAACCGCAGGCGACCTCCGATGGTTGCCAAAGAGGCTCTGCCCTTTGAAAGTCCAGATGGACCTGAAAATGTAAATATTTATATATTGCGGATTTTATGTACAATTTTGGGAATTTGCTCTTCAAAGTTTTGGGGGCAGGTACACTTTCACATTTCACACTTTACTCGCGAAAAGTTCTTGCAGGCGTCAACTGTTATACAAGCACACACCTTGCATCTTTCTACTCACACCAGCAGGGGTATTATATAAAAAAACCTAAAAACGACAATCTGTCATCTTGCAGACTAGGTAATTTTTAGTGTTCAAATAGTTTATTCCAAGTTTGCTCACTATGATCGCTGTGAGCGTCTTCAAAAGCGTCCATCTATGGAGGAATGACTCAACGACACGACACGCTCAAGCATGTTGGTTGCGTTCATCTCTGAGGAGATGTGAAACAAAGAAAGTTGGTTGAGTAGCAGGATCACATCTGGATGATTATGCGTATAAAATCCGTGATACTTGCTATGTGTTTTGTTCAAAAACTTTGAGGAGAATTATGAGAAATTGCCAATGCGCCCGCGTTGTGTGTAATTACTGTTAGCATGTATATGACTTGTACTTCGACAGTGTACTGTGAATATCATCGCAATATGTGGCCATATGTTTGTATAAAATTTAATATTCCACATAAAGTTAATTACTTCACCAGCCAGGGATTTTCTTATCTCTCTCATTTTTTCATTAGAAAAAGTTGATGCCGAACTAATTCCTGGCTTTGAATACATCTCAAATAAGTGTATTTGAGACAAGAAACACATCATAGCCAAACATTGACGCCTGAAGCATCATGACATTTAGGCAACACGTGCATCTACAAAACGAGTTCACAGCAGAAAAGGCTAGGTTGATATCTTGTAGAAAAACATATGTTATGTCACAAAAAAAACGATAAAGTGTTAAAAAAACGACAAAATGTCACTCTTCAAGATACGTCACGCTTCGAAAAACGCTCCAGGGATATGGAATAAAAATAAACAGCTCGTAGGAATTTAACCTTTCACAAAGTCCTCCAATAACTAGTAGTCAATCTGGCATCAGGCAGTTTTGTTCATCCCTCAACCCCCAGCGTATACCCACCCGCCAGATTTTATCTCTCGGCCGCCGCCTCGACGCTCGTATTATTTTTTCCCCCAGAGTGGGGGCTCTTATTTTTCCTGGTTTGCAGCCTGCAAGCGATGTACTGGCACCTCGGCAGTCAACGTGGACTTGACGAGCGCTGTCGCAGCGTTGCCGAGCAACCAGCGCCAAGCGAGCGAGCTCATTGGCTGGAAACCGGCGCTGATTGGACGCGACAGCGTTCTCGTTTAAAACAGGCGTGGGGACGCTTCGATTGGCGGAAAACCGTGTTTTCGGCGCTCTGATTGGCCGACGGCAGTTTGAACGGTCGCAGTCCACGTTGACTCTGTACCAGCTTGGTATACTGGCAATCAGGACGCCATATTTATAAGGGTGAAAGGGGTTGAAGTGAAATCAGGCGGGTGGAACAAGGACGAAGGATTCCCGGCCTGTTTCAGCTAAAATGAGATGCTTTCTGCCAGGCAGCCATTTTGAGGGTAGTTTTTCGTTTTTTACTTTTTTGCTATTTTTTTCCTAGTGAACATGCCCGGATCATTTTAGGGGTGTGACGGCAGGTATGCAAAGACAGGGGCGGAGACGATACAAGGTCGCGCTACGCGCGTTTGTGGTCCGGTGGTGGAGCAGCGGCGGGGTGATCGTGGTTTTTGAAAGGATGTGGGGTGAATGGTTGAATGGCCACTCTTTTGTGGATCTCTGGCACGGAAAGGGGGTTCGCAGAGTAGTGACCACAAGGATCAATATTAAAGGAGGAACAATTTCGAAATGTAAAAAAACAAATAGTATTGGATGATGGTCGCGAAAGCCTTTCGCATTTCAACAATTATGAACTTGCTCTATTTTTGCCCTTAGAGTTGTGGACAGTAGATGATATTTGCAATATCACGCATCCAGGCACGGATCCAGCGACACGTCTGGGGGGGGGAACAGTGTGGGTTGCTTCCTTTAAGGGTATATTGTAAAACCTCCCTCCCTCCTCTCTCTTTGTCTTCTCTTTTTCAACCCCCTTCCTCTCCTTTCTTTCCGTGTATCCTCTCCCTTTTTTTTTCTTCCTCATCTTCTTTTCCCTTTCTTCATTTTTTCCTGCAAATCTCAGACCTTGCCCCCCCTTTATGTTTACTTTGAGCTATTTATACATTTTGCACACAGTTGCTCAAGTTACTTACCTCGGTTGTCGGTTTGTCCCTGTTCGTAACTGTTGAATCACATCGTATCCTCTGTAAGCACCTAACTAATTTTGATGGAATTTGGGGGGTGAAATTTACATATTTGTATTCTATTTTTACAGTCCCTTTAAGACCTCTTAATCCATTAACAGATTAACAGATTATCAGATATGATCTCATATCCGTTACCGTGTTCGAAACTGAGAATACTATTCATATACTGAACATATACGAGGGGTACCAGAAAAGATGTCTACCTAGTCATGAAATAAAAGACGTACGATCTCAATGTAACCCCTCCCCCCTCCTACATCAGAACACTTTCGTCATTTTTCCTCCAGTGAACGTATACCCTTTATAAAGGAATCATTCCTCTTGACTTTCAAAAAAATCGTTGACAGCTTCTTTTAGGCCATCATTCAAGTCAAAACGGCGTCCTCGAATATTTTTCTTTAATAAAATCTAAAGAGATGAATCTCCAACGTAGGAACTCAAGGAAGCTGCATTCCTGCTAAACTTTACCTAATTTTTTATAGTGTTCGATGTATTGTTGTTCCCGATTACCAGATATTCAATCAGAAGGATACCCCTGATGTCCCAAAAAAACTGTTACCATCAATTTTCCAGCAGAGGGCTGCGTCGGTGCCTCTTTGCGGTGGAGGCTCTTACGAACCCACTTCCTGGATTCTGTTATTATTTCCGGATCCCAGTGGTGCACCCCAGTCTCGTCCATCGACACAATTCGTGCCAAAAAGTCAGAGTCGTTGGTCCAAATGACTTTCTGAAATTTCTAACCTGCTCAATTTTTTTTCAGGTGCCAAAAGTCGTGGAGCCTACGTGCTGGGCGCCTTACTTATGTTCAAATGCTCATGCAAGAGACCTTCTCACGACGATCTTCGAGAACCATGGCTTTATGTTTTCGAGTCGCTTCGTAATTTATGGCTGTTTTGGGTCTTCAACATCTGGGATCATCTTATAGGGATTCACGCCCGCATCAAAGCCTTTGTCAGAAATTTTATGACAACACGCTAATTTTAAGTTACTCGTTTTTGCTTACAGTTCACTTTATACATTGGAAACCAATTATCAAAATTAACTCAAATATTGCAAGTAAAGCATGCCACTATTTATGTTTGTGCGTTTCAATTGTTTTTTTTTTCCATGGTTAGTTAGATTTCTTTTTCGGTGTCCCTCATATCTGTAACCATATTCGGATCGGGAATTTTTTATATCATACCAGACTTTTATTCTCCTGTAACAGCGGTATGATAGCGGTGGATTTCTAAAGCATCTTTGAGGGTTATTTTTTTCTAATTCCGGAGTTTTAATGGATTCTTTGGATGTTAGATCTGTTTTTTCAGCGCTCGGACTTCTGCCCTAGTTACTAACGGTAACACAATAGTACGGTCAGTTTATTCAATTACATTACATGTAGGTCGAAAGTGTTATGTCATTAGTCCTTTTTTATCACAGAAGCAGGGATGCTTTATTCAAAGGTGTAACAGTTACAGTGAGAACCTAATGAGCCATAAAAGAGGGTCGACTTCGGAATGAGAGATAATAAGCTGTAAACTTGTAGAAACCTTCATTGCTATTATAAAAGGTATCTCAATAGTCTCATAAAATCTCGTGTCCGCGTTTCAAAATATCAAAGGTCAACGGTCAATAAAATCCGCTATGATATCGCTTCCTATGGGTTTAATGATAATTCCATTTATTATAAATATTGAAGAGAATGAAATGCTTCACACTTTTGTCCCAAACATTTTTTCATACAAATGATCGATAGATAGAGGACCGAGAACGCACCGCCCTTAGCTATTTACAGCCGTTATTTTCGATAAATAATACGCCGTTTCAGGTTTATGAATGACTAAAAAATGTAAATTTGTGCATAATTACCATTTACCAAACGAAGAATTGTGCCACCAACAAAGTCATACATGTATATGTTGTGTAAGTCTTTAGAAGTACATATCTAGGGTGGAGCTCTGCAAAAAATCAGGGGATTACAGGATAGGGCTTTTACAACATCAATGACTTTTTTGTCGGCACAATTCTTCGTTTGGGTTATGCAATTTTTTGAAAAATACAAAATATACTGCACTAATTGACAAAACATGCTAAATGCGCAAAATTCATATTTTTCAATAATTTATAGGGCGTATTATTTATCGAAACTAGCGATTGATCTAGCATTATGCTGTAAAAACAGTTGATTGTATAAAAAAATATTCAATACAAAAGTTGTAGAGAATTTTATCTTCAACGATATGCAAATAGCATTAAGACCCTAGAAAGCGAGATATTTGTAAAAAACCGATTTTTGTGACCTTTGACCTCTCATATCTTAAGACTGCGACTTTTGAGACCATTTTTAAAATGACAAACTAAAAAGGTTTCTAGGAGTTTACAGCTTATGATCTCTCATTTCGAAATGAAACCCCTAATATGACTGGATTATAAGTACTTGATTTGACAGTCACTTCGATCTTATTCATTCTGATACGTTTTATTTGTTGTCAAATCACACATTTGCAAATATTATTCACGTTAGGACGAGAGCTCTCTCATAGAATCATTCAGCCCTGAATACTGTTCAACGTGAAACCCAGCGCTCGCCAAATCAATTTCACAAACGTATCGCCAATTACTACTAATTACACGATTACCCATTAGAAAGAATTATTTCACTTTACGATATGATTATTCGCTTGCAAACATTGCAGGCCGATGACTCCCCTCTCCCCCATTATCTGCCCGCAGAACCCGCAACGCCAATTTGCATTTTACGTGCATTTCCACGGCAGGTTACTAAACAACATATTCATCATATATGCGTTATTCAATGCTTATGATTAAACGGACATTAACTATGCACGAGTATTTCCATTCAAATTCATTTTTTAACAATTCAAATTACTACTTGTAATACATACAGAACAAAAAATGGGATCTCTCGATAGCCGCACGGCGAGTGGATTGTCACATTCGGTGCGTCAGGTACGGGTACGATCCAGTGGCGGTGCGAATTATACAGGGTGTTCATAAAGTCCCGAACCGGTTGAATAACTTGGAAAGGCTCGAAGAAATAGTTAAGACAAAAGTTGTAAGAAATTTCCCTGGCTACTCGACAGTGACCTCGGTCGTGATCTTAACCTTGACCTTCAAGGTCGTCATTTTTTTTAATGACAATCCCCAAGTTTGAAACCAAAAGTTGCCTTGAAGGTCAAGACCAAGGTCACGACCGAAGTCATCATCGGATAGCCATAAAATTCCCTACAACTTCTGTCTTAACCATTTTTGTGAGCGACGCCTACTTTTCAAATTATTCAACCGGTCCAGGAGTATTTGAACACCACCCAAGCAGCACAGAACATTATTTTTATATTGGTTATACAGGGTGGCCAATCCATGTCTGGACGGACTATTACTCATAAACAAATACATTTTGGGAAAATCTATTTAATGGATGATATACATGACATTTCTAAAATATTGGCCATTATACAGGGTGTCCCAATTTCGACTGACATATCAAAGTTGTGACTTTTCAAATGGAATGCCTCAAATTTTATTGCATATTTGGATGAACCAATTCAAAAGAATAAAATTGATATAACATACTATGGGGTTTTGGGAATTAGCTACTAAGCTGTTTTGTCTAGAAAAACCCCCACTTCGGCAACCCCTCAGTCCGCCATTTTGAAATCTGGAGTGCTGAATTTTGTACAAAAGAAAACTTACACACCTCAGCTTTTATATTATTTATTATTTTTTCGAAATTTAATTTTTGCTCATACAGGGTGGTCAAAAACGCAAATTGTAGTTTTTCTCCAAAATTTCAAATGCATCACCCTATATATTTTTGCAAGTTTGGATTCAATTTTTTATAAGCTTGTTTTCGATACAACACACATAAAGGTTTTTACGGCTATTTTTTCGGTTATTAGCACGTCTTTCATGGAACGGCTTAATTCCCTAAAATATCGTATCATTCTTGGAAACAAATAAATTGTTACAAACTGTCAAAATTAGCTTTGTGAGCCTTATATTAAAAACATGTTTGAAAATGAATTTTTCTATGGTGTTCGTTTTGGGCGAAGCCCAAAGAAATAGTTTCCTAGCATATGCGACATCCAAGGAAGGAAACATTTTCTACACTACGAGAACGTTTTGAATCAAGTGGAGCATTGGAATATAGTAAAAAATGTATAAATAATCCAAGTGTCGCCAATGAGGAGAATCATTTGAAGGTTCTATCTCAGTAGCTAATTACCAAAACCCCATAGTATGTTATATCAATCTTCTTCTTCTGAATCAAATTGAGACACCCTGTATAATTGCCAATATTTTGAAATGTGCCTTGACATGTCATGTATAACATGCCATTAATAGATTTTCTCAAAATGTATTTGTTTATAAGTAATATTCCGTCCACACATGAATGGGCCACCCTATATATATATATATATATATATATGAACTTGCTGTTATTTATTTATAAATACAAGCATACTCTGCTGAAACCAGAACATAACCATGACACAAGGTACTTTATGTTTATTTGTTTTATTCGAGAATAATTGTATTTTACAAATAAACATTATTATTATTATTATTATTCATATAATGGCACTAGCATTCCAATCAAATGCCAATATCTGCACTCTATTGGTTAAACGTTAGAAAATACAACATTTGGTGTTGTCTCTTGGCCTATATTTGCCCAATATGTTATTTTGCATAATGAATTGCAGAATATTGACACAGTATTTATTACAATTGCGTTCGTAAATAAAATATTACAGGGAAATATTGGCATAATAGTATATTTATTGCGAAAATACAATATTGTTAAAATGTATATTGGCCTAATACCTAAATAGCACTAATATTGTCAATCAACATTACTACAATGATTTTTGTTAATTGTTTAGCTGATATTCATAACTTTGCATTTGTCCTTTATTGGCTAAGCTTTGGAAATTACAACACTGGTTTTTTTCTCTTTTGAGCTGTATTGTATTGTATGTTATTTTGTGATATTG